AGAAATCTATTTTTTGAGTTATTTTTCTGCAACAGAACACCTAGAACCCGAATAGATACCAAAATTAATTTGACTCCAAAAATTGGAAGTGCAAAATAAAACAAACAATGAAAAATTTGGCTTCTTTGGCGCTTGAGATCCATAGTTTATTGCCCGTAATAATATAATCATCGCCTTCTCGCTTTGCCACTGTTTTCATTGCAAAGGCATCGGAGCCTGCTGATGGTTCACTCAGACAAAATGAGCCGACCTATGTTCAAATATTTTTAACAATAAGCTAATGAAATTGGATAATTTTATTTCAGTACCGTCTGGGCATGAAGTTAGAAACAAAGAAAAGTAAGCTGCTTACACGGATATGAACTAAACGGGAGGATGAAAATGAGAATGAAAGAAATAAGAAAAGAAAGAGGGAAAAATGGTAAAGGGAGCTAAGAGATTTTGGTCCAAAACATCAAAATCAGCGTTGCAACTGGACTTCGTCAGCATGACGGTTTCTGCTCTAATTTAGAAGTGGAGAAAAAGATGGTAGAGAAGGGCAGGGAGAGAAAAAAGGACGTAGGGGATTGAGGAAAAAGAACAAAGAATGAAAACACGTGACAGCATAATTGGAGCATTGGAAAAAAAAGGTCTCTAAAGCGAGGGATGAATAAAAGTTGAAAAGACTTGAAAATTTTTCTGACAAAAAACCAGAAAGGTTTTCATGCTATCATATCTACAGACAAGAAACCGTAGCTTCGGTAGTGTTAGTGCAGATACTGAGCATGATTTATGTAGAAGGTACGATAGATCCTGACAGAACTAGGATAAAAATGGCCTGACGAAGATGCATTCAGAGTATCAGAGGTTTTTTACTAGGTTTTTTACGACAGAGGTTTTTTACTAACAGGCTGAGCAATCACAGTGATAAATTTATTTTGGAAAGTACCCAGTCATCATGCGTATGCTTTAGATATTTCTCCTTCTGCATTTCGCTCCCATTTTTGAGTAACAAAGGCACAATCAACGTATTTTGTACATCGCACATTACCGCCACCGCAGGATCAACCTGAAATCAGTCGACACATACTCATAACTTGCTATATGTAGTTTAGGGCATTCTTGGTAGCTTTAACTTGTGCTGCTCTACCTAATTAATTAGTCTACTGGGTGGTCTTGACACCCGTTTCGTCACCCGAGAGGATTAATATCTGAACAATTTTCCTGACAAATTACTTAGCAAGATTTTAGCAGTTCCAAGATGTCACTAGTGTGCGAATCCAGCCAGTAAGAGCGCAAAAATGTCCGCATTAGTTGCTGATCGTGACATGGAAAGCCCAAGAAAACTGGCAAAAAAGAAGCCGTTACACAAAAAATTATACACTGCATATTAGAAATAGGGACAGATAGCGGAGTAAAAGGCAGATACACAGTAGATGTGATTTGGGACTTGAATACAAGGGCATTTGGTGTAAAGGAAAACATGTCGCGCACAGATGCGAAGAGGAGTAGTTCGGTTCTCTTCCCATTTGCAAAAGGACCTTAACTACGAAAAACTAATCCAAAAGTCAAAATACGTAGTAATGGGCATTTTCCCTTACTTCTCTTGCATCAGCTGATGCTTAACGTAAGGCTAACCTTAGCTAGTTCCTCAACAATGATGACAACATCGAACAAAGATGCACCAGGACCACCGTACTGCTCGGGCACTTCGACACCCATGAAACCGTTTGCGAAAAGAGCCTTGAGGACATTTTCATCCAGTTGACTACGTTCATCCATCCCACGCACAGCTGGTTTCAGTACATTCTTTGCAAATTGCCTAGCTAAAAAACATTTGGCAAGCCGTTAGAATGACATGCAAAAAGATGCAAAAAAGATAGCGAGTGAACTCCTGACCGAATTAACAGTCGTTAAAGTAGGCCATTTAAAGCAAAATTCGGACACGAATTCTTCTGTCTGCGCGAGATCTGAGGCTGAGAGGCTCTGGAAAATGAAAGTTGGAAAGTCTCAGTCCTTTGAGTCGAAAGGTATGAGTTTCATGGGAATATGACCAATTTTTAACAAAATC